ATTGTCCGGGATTCGACGGGAATCGAACCCGAGCCTCTATGGTGAAATGCGAGCGACTGCGCTGTGAGTCACCAGATGACCTAGTTAGAAAGCATATTGGTTTTCGAGAAATTTATTCATCTTTCTTTTATTAAATGGAATAAACTATTTTGCTCACTAACAATGGATAAATCATAAGAAGATGAATACAAAGATGTATCACTTGTTAACGTTTTGATAGTAGTTTGATTATAAAATTATACTTTCTGATGTGTGATTTTAAAGTAAACCTCCCAAAATTTCCTCTTGCAATTGTCGCCTTTGGGGAAAGTGGCTTTCGCGATGCCGAAGCTGTTATAGGGAGAGGGGAGACTGAGAGAAGTGGCAGTCACGGTACAGGCGCAATTACAGCAATCTGTGATCTTGACTGGAAGGTCAGAGGATCAAACATCAATATTAACGATTAGAATGAAAGACTTTTCCATTGACTCTTCAGAATTGGACATTACTTTCACTGATTGTAATTCAAAAGTATCGATCATTGAAATAAACGATGTTGAAACATTGTTTGCATAAGGAAGTTAGTAATACAGGTAATTTTCAAACTTATCAAGAAACCATTTCGATGTCTAATGGCTGCAAGATCAAGACATAATTTCAAAGCATTTCAAATAAAGGAAAGGGAGTGAGTTGTTGAAGATTGTCACTGCAATATATCCAGATAATGCATCGTAATTTGAATAGTAGGTACAATTTTTTTTACTCAACTTCCAATTGTAAATTTACAATATTAAAACAAGCCGTAGATAACAACAGAAAAATTTAATACAATTGTGTATATGTGTTTGGAATTTTTATTTTAGGATTAGATTAATCCGACTTTTGCCAGCTAGTGGTGTTCCCAGGCCTGGGCCCTCTTTATTTATTATCCACGCCTGGAGGTAAGGGAAATTTATGTGGCGAGGACGAAGTTCTTTTTCTTTCGTCACAAAGGTATAGAAACCGAGTCGATTACAGAATACAAATATGTACATAAATTATTTACACTTATGCTCTGCGTCTCCCATCGACAGCAATGCACATCCTCAGTCGTGTGTGCAAGAGCCGATGAACCGACTGCAATATTATGTGACGTTATGAACTGATGCTTAAAAACTTCGTCCAGTAGAAGAAAAGTTCAATTCGGGTGAATCAATAGAAAAAAAATCTTTCGTTCAGAGAGTTAATATTGATGTTTGTTCTGCGTCGTGACAAGACCATGGATTGCTGTAGTTATCCCTCTATCCGTCATTGCCATACCTCTTTCCCCGTCACACCGTCGGCACCGCGACGGTTGCCTTAACTGAAAGAGACCGTCGCGAGAGCTGCTTCAAGAAATATTGTTGGTTTAATTTGAAATCACATATTAGATAGTATAATTTTTTACTCAAATTACTATCAATTATTAACATTCAGTACATCATCGCATTCCTCTTTTCATGATCTATTCATTGCTAGTGAGAATATGTAGTTCCATTTAAAAAATCAAAAATGAATAAATTTCTCGAAAAAAATCAAATAATATTTCTACAGAATAATACTTGCCCCATAGCTACACATTATTGACCGAAAACTGAATTTCGATATCATTAATCGTTTAGACTTTATGGAGATGGCCCAGACTACAGTTGGAAGAACATCTTTAGGTATAGATTTGTATTGTCTGAAAATATGTTTACATCCTTGAGTAACTCATTTTTGGACAAAAGCCACTGATTCGGAAATCATCAAGGAACAAAGCAATGGAAGAATTGCTAGATAAGTAATGAGAGACTAACAAGAATCTCGTGAGTTGGATTTGCTTATTATTTGTACAATTCTTCTCAATAATCTAAAAGTTTGGGAACAATAGGATGTGTTTCCCGAGAATATTATGCCATACCTCGGGTAGGAAAGAACATTCGCGAAATATACACAACGAGTAGTAGTAAAGCTGACTGAATGTGAAAGAATGAAGAACGCGTAGCATACTGATCTTAACTTTGTATTCAATTAGTTTAAATGGATGTTCCATTTGAGGTTGAGGCCCTGCGAAACCAAAGGAGCAAGTAGCGAAATTTTCAAAATGAAGGTTTTGACATCTAATTATTATATTAATGTCGAAAGAGCTATGTTCCAAAAAAAACATTCAAATTGGATGTTCATCTACCTAGACATTGCTCTGGTTGGATGACACGGCTAATATGCTCTAAAAGAGCTATGTCCTTTATCTCCATTGACCATTGCGTTTGCGTGGTTTGATTCTATCGAGAGTGTAAATCTTTTCGTTCACAGATTTTGTGAGAACTATGGATGACCGAAAATTACATTTAGTGATGATTGAGGAACCACAGGCTGTAAAAAGCTTTCAATGCATAATGCATGTGAGAGGTAAATCGTATCAAACTAGAAGTGATAATGTGATTCCAGAAAACCAATTCTAGCTACGGAAGAAGGTGAAATTTGCGAAAATAATTTGTCTTTACATTTGACATTGTATTCATATTCTAAACCACGCCAGTGTCGCCATTTAAGAGAGATTTTTTCCAGCATTATAAATGAAATTTAAAATCGTAGAGCGTATGGTCCCGGCTGAGGTGGCTCAGGACATCAACCACGCCAGTCTTAGGGTTCGATTCGCGACGGTAGGATTTTTGACTAAAATTCAGCAGGTGTCTGGAGAGTTCTGATCAGTAGTTTCCCGTGGTTTCTCCGATCAACAACAGACGAATACCGGAGCAGTACCTACCCTAACAAACGAGCAACGGATCGCATTCGACCTTTGCATCCTTTACCTTATCCACATTCCACACCTCACTCACTCACTCACTCACTCACACTCACATACCCACACTTGTCTTGAATTGTGTGGTCAAGCTGCCTCTCGCTGAATGCCTCAATTGGTTACTTGAAATGGAAAATTGCATTGCAATTGTTCTCTCTTCATTCACTCTTAATGAGTTATTTCGAAACTAATTTGATATTATACTATTTACTGTTTCTATATTTGAAAAAAACTTTCATACCAATTGTAAAGAAAACTGTTCTTCCGTTTCGAATTATCGATGGCATGTAGTTTAGGTATAGTAGGAAATCAACAGGGTCTAAAATTGAACTTTGTGGGACCTCATGTGTAATTGGCAAAGAATAAGAAAGTAAGCAAATAATATTACATAAATCCAGTAGGGTGTTTCTACATACTGAGATCGTTGGTTAAGGTGCGAACATAACCAATATAGAGCAATACCACGAATTTCACACGAAGGTAATTTTAAAAGTTAAAATGTTATGATCAATGTCGTCAAAAGCTTTTGAAAGATCTAAAAATATGCCACAAAGTGCTCCATTTCGATCCATGGATTAAACTGCATCTTAACGACAAGAAATATGGCTCTTTCCTGAGGTACTCGTACTCTCTTTCCGAATTTGTAATGCAAGCTTTAAACATTAACCATTGAGGGGAACAGATCGGCGTAACTGATATCAACGGTAAAATGTTAAATAATGTTCTTTTAATGATATACTGAATCCCGGATTTGTTTTTTCGTAATTGCCCGTGAATCTTGTAATTGCTTTTTTCTTCGTAATTGCCCTTAGTTTAAACCGGATTCAGGTTGTACAAGACTATACAAAATTACATAATTTATGGCCGTTGAAATTTGATTAGGAAAACGTTATAAACAATTAGAGACAAGTATCTTTTTCGTTCCACTGAACATTCATCCATGAGTATGGTATATTTAAGTAATTATTTTAAAATATTGACATGGTGAGCCCCTATCCGCATTTTTTGTAACTGTGTGTTGTTTTTAAATATGTTCAATAACTGATTTTCATTGAGAAAAATGTGACTATTTACAGAAATGTACTTAAAGATGCGAAAAACTGTTTCGCGAAATGTAGTACATCTAACACAAGCTTTTTAATAAAATCCAGATATGCGATTCAATTGACGTGCTTCCGTTTTAATCATACCAATGATTGTCTCAGATTAGATACAGAAAATAAATAACAACTAATCGACAATCAATAAAGAATTTCAAGTGATAGACAAGGGTATTTTCACTGTTAGAGAGGATTTTTCCCCTCAGCTGAAGCACTTGACTCTGTGGGTCTCGTATAGCTGCAAAAATTGATAAAATCATTTCTCTTACTTTCTAGTAATTTGCAGTATCTTGAATTCATATTTACCATTCATATTTTTTCAAAAAGAACATTTGGTCGCATTGCAGCTCTGTTCAAACCATTGTGCAACGTGCGTAGGGTAGGTAGAGGAAGGTTGGAGCTTGGAACGTGTAACCACGTTTGTGGCAAAATGCCCGTCCTATTAAAACTCTTAATTTAATTACTTTTGCACATTTTCGGGAAGGGACTTCATTCAAATCTCTTCGGAACAATGTTAGCCGATTAAAACAAGCAGCAGCATCGAGATGTGACGCATAAATTTGTGAATGTTTGATTCCTTAGTGCCTCTAAAAACGGTTTTAATTGTTGCTAAGCCCAGCGTTCTAGCGACGGCACCTCATGCCTTATCAGCATGTCATTTAAAGTTGTTAGACGGATTTAGGGTATAAAGAGTACAGACAGTTGAAATGCTAATGGAAAAATAATTGCTTACAGTATTTTCAAAAGGAGAAAGTTTTAGAAAAGCATAAAGGCAAATTATGTTGTTTGGAATACGTGGATTAAGATGTCAACGTTTTCTTCCGTCAGGTCTGGGACACCCTGCACATAACAAAGCGTTACCAAATGAGAGGGCGTAGTTCCACGTTGCAGCACTGCATAGTTTTCATTATTAGTTTAACGATTATACTTTCAATACTACAAATACAAATTGGCCGAGGAACCGATCGCTACTTAGGCTGAAACTTGCCGCTTTTTGTTTGTTACCAGGAATGTTTTTGCCTTTCAGAAACAAGGAGAACAACGAATATCCATCTTAAAGAGAGACGGACCTGCCTGAATCCGCCCGTATTTCCTCTACGTACAAGTAAGTATTATCTCGTCTACTCCGAGGAGCGCACTCGACTCTGAAAGCAACAAAAGGGCCCTCGCAGTTCCGTGGCATGCTCCGCGACCCCGGGCGACAGCTGTCGCGCCGGCGAAGAAAAAACGCCATCGGGACGACGCGGGAGGAGGCGGCCGACTGCGGCCGGGCTGCCGCCTCCACCATACGCCGGTCGCGCCGCCTCAATGAGGAAGTCTTCAAGGCGACGTAAGTGCTTCTAAGAGGTAAACAGCCTCCGCCGTCGAGCGGCTACACGCTGGGGGGCGGGGGCCGAGGGACGTCTAGGGACGACGCGGGGCTCCGCACTCACCACCGTCTGCACGTAGTCGAAGTCGTCGGCTGGGTCGCCTGGGCGGGGCGTGGCACGCGGTAAGAAGGCCTGGGCGCAGCGCCCGGCGCGCTCCTGCTCGCGCACCGCGCCCGCCGCCCCCGGCCGCCGCCACCGCCGCGCCCGAACCGCCCGCGCCGCCGCCGGCGCCGCGCCGCCCATGCCCAGCCCGCAGCTCTCGTCGTCGCCCGCCCCGCGCGACCCGGCCGCAGCCGGTAGGCGGCCACCAGGCGGTCTCGAAGATCCTCCCAAACCAGCAGTCCACATCGTCCTCGCAACAGCTCCTCGGCACCGGCCCAGCTGCGACATGCGGCGCTCGCCCTGCCGGGTGCCGGGCCGAGGCCGACGAGCGCCTATGCGATTGTCGGCCCGCGCCATCGCCTCGCCCTCGCGTGCGTCGCGGCTGCTGACGGGCGCTGGCGGCCGCTGCGTCCTGCGCCGCCTGAGGCACTGCCCTCCCGATGCACCAGCAAACTCGGCGCGGTCCTCGCAGCCGCGGCCCACGTCACACGTCCGCCGCGCGAAATCCCGGAGTGTGATGCACCGGCGGGGGAGCAGGGCGCGGACGCAGCTGCGTGTCGACTGGACCGGGCATGCGCAACGGGCAAGGGCGAGAGCGCGAACGGCGGAGCGGGCGGCGGCGGAGTCCGGCAGCCACCGGATGATCTCCGGCGCGCGCGTTTCGCTTCTCTGTTTAGCGGTGAACCCCGGCACACGGCCTCGAGCGCTCTCCTTCGGCGCGTGGGGCGGGACGGGGCGGGCCGAGGAGGTGAGGAAGCATGACGGCGAGCTGCCGTGCGCGCGGCTCTTCGAGGCAGCGTCTCAAGCAAATATCCAATCAACGCAATGGAAGCGAATGAGCGCAGCGCAAAGACGCTGGACGGAAAGAGGTCCTGCCCCGCCCGCCGGGCCGCAAGACGGCCGAGGCGGGTGGAGTGGGTGGGCGCGGTGCCGGTTTGCGCTCTCGGGCCGGAGGGGCGACTGGTCTTCCCACCTGCAGCAGAGGCGGCGCCGGGGACCGAGGTCGGTCCGGGTCGCGGCAGGCATCTCCTCCAAGCTCACGCTGCTTCTCGCCAGCAATGGGCGTTGCTTTCAAAGAACACAGTTATCAAATGGGCCGATCCGCACTATATATTTATCTGAGACGTCAACTGGGGCGGCCGCATTATCCAGTGCGTCAGGGAAAGTGCTGCGAATTCGAAACTGAAGCATCAGAGACTTGCGAATGCCTTCGATCGAGTAGCAGATTTTCCACGTCAGCTGTATAGGTGGGTAGAAAGGTGCTTTCCTGTGGAGAATTGGAGAGGTCTTCTCCTTTGAGCAATCGTTTCCGTTCCACGGAGGTGTGGGAACGACCACATATTGTGCGTGATGTTGCTTTTCCTACCCACTCCTTTTTTCTCTCCCTGGATGCGAGGGAATCCTCGTGGGGCCTATTCCCACCAAAAGCTGTGACAGGATTACAATTGCGTGGATATCTACAGATGTCCGCACTGCCCTGCAGCGCTGAGGAAGGGAAGTAACAATTAAGTACGTCGAAATCACGGATGATGTTTGTGTCCTGTCTTGCGAGATATTGCCCTGTGGGGGTGAAGTTCGAGCAACAATGTGTGCTCTCTCTGGACACGAATTTCATGTACTCATACTCCTACCATTATATTTTTTTATTCATTTCTCCAAGGAGACCCAAGAGTTCGACAGGTGTATTTCACTGCGCAACACTTGCTCCAAGATATTATAATATTGAGAGCTACACCAACACACACGTACATTTCACAATGTAGTTTTTCAATGAAACAATTATTTGTATTACATCTAAATGGTTACTGACCCGCTTACAGCGAATTCTAGCAATTTTGCTGTTATTTACGGTCCATTATTATAGCTCATATACGTTCTTCCCACTTAAGTTCGTCTAGTGTTGGATACTTTGCTTATGTATAACTTCATTTTACGTAAAAAAGCGGTGGAATTTAAACTCAATGTTTATTAGATTTTAAAAATTAATATAAATTATCGAATTATTTTCCAAAAGACAAGAACAAAATGTGCATGGAATACATGCTATGTGCAATACGAATACAGCATTAAACGCCATGAAACGTCTCCATATCTCGCACACACTTTGTACAAAATGAATTCCTATTCTTTCGACCATTCTTCGTTTTTGGTAGCTCTGGACCGCCCCTTCCCCCGACTGAGGTAAAACTCCAGGTGGTACAAACGTACTAATCCAGGCTCCCCTACCATCGCGCCCCCAGGCACTCGTAATCCCGTGCCGTTCATACTTCATACTAGTCATCTCCTGACCAATGCCACTCTTCGGCCGGTTCAGTGGAAGAAAGCCCATTTGCACATAAGAAGGCACCCAGGAATTTCTTGCAGGATTTAGGTTCACAGGCTAATCATCAAACACACCAGTTACAACATAACTGAAAACACGCATGTCTTACGCGGAATTCGAACACCTTTTTTTGGTTGTAAACACTTCGCACACAATTGTCCCTTAGTTTAGGTAACTACAAAAAAATGAGAAAGTATTTACTTGTTCGCATTTACCATGAATCGCGGTTAAATGTAAACACGACGTAGTAGAAGATGGTAGTTGTTGTTGAATAGTAGTTGAAGTCAGTTACTATTTTCTTTCAAATACCTTAGCAAAATATAGAGAGAGATATAACTAATATAAACATTTGGAATTTAAAATACTGTTGGTGATTAAAGTTTCCAGATCTGGAGATGTGAGAAAACAGTTTCTATTACTCTCAATTACCCGTAACGGCGTTGACACGTAGAGCCCTGATATTTACGGCCGAAAAATGTTTGAAACATGCAGGCATTTATGACCTAAAAATATTAAAATATTACCATAAATATGACCTAAACATTGTTTGTTGCATTTTCGTAACCTTGAAAGTCTTTCCGCTGTTTAAATAACAATTATGTTGAAAATAGATTTTTAAAATCTAGCATATTCACAATTCACACCTTCTGTTGTATCCCGGGGGTTCATGTAAAGTACCTCCGAGAATTGAAATATCGGTTTCAAATTCAATGAGGCGTAACATCAACCAGACGAACAGGGAAATATCAAATTTAGGAAAAATTGGCTGAACGGTTTAGCCGCTAACGTTGTTCACAGACGAACGAACGAACGAACGAACGGACGAACGAACGAACGAACGAACGGACGGACGGACGGACGAACGAACGAACGGACGGACGTTTTGCCGTCATTCGATTTTTCGGTATCAAGGACCCATGGATACTGGCTACACCACGAGATAGAGGATTTTTTTCTAAATATAACAACTGGATTTATCCAGTTTTTCGTTACCAAGGCCCTGTAATAAGAGTTTTCTGCCGAAAATTCGCAGGTGTTTTAGGGCAGAATTACATTAATTTCTCTCTACTCCATAGCGAGAAAGTAAAATTGTAAGAAATTAGATAACAATTAGGAAATATGAAAAATCATTTTCAGACTACTGCAAGGAAGTATGCGAAAATGGAATCAAAAAGATAAAAATACGACATATAATATGATAATTCATGGAAAAATATGACCATAATATGAAACATTAACGGAAAATGACCAAAGGATTAAAAAAGCCAAAATATGACTTTATATGACACGTAAATATTGCATAACTTTAGTCATGGTAGATAAAATCGTGTCTATATTACATTTTGCATGGAAATAACGCAAATACAAAATGTATGACGTGTCATAAACATCAGGGTCCCAGTGACAAGAAATACAAAACCAAATAAACAAAAAAAGGAAAATGCTTAAGATTAAAAATATCACAGGCGTGAGGAATTTCCCCCTCACTCCGCTCAAATTTCCCCTCCAAATCCTGAAAGGGGTGTACACGCAGGAGAACACAGTTTCTTTCTTGTCTCTCCTTGTAAACGTCCTCTTAGATTTATTATGTCACTCTTACGGACAGGCAGTATTTTTAACAGAAAGAACCTTTGTTCCTAACCTGAACGTAGTTAATGTTGTTAATACGTACAATAATATACCTCCAATACATGTTACAATACAGCCAGTACCTGAAGTCAATGCAATTACACCATATACACGATTCTGGGATTTTCTGAAGAAAGAAAGAAAAGTCTCCCTTACAAAGTACATCATCATTTCGAAAATACAGAAGGTGCTTCTCAACTACCAGTGTTTCAGTATTGCTACATTTATCGGAAACATATTGAAAATATTTGTGTTACTCTTCTTGGGATCCAACAAATATCATAAAGTTCAGTGTCAAAAGTATTATGTTTGGCAACAATAATAACACTATACCACATCTTTCGATACGATATTTACTTCCAAAACTTCTTCCAGTGAATATTCTCTTTCTGATTCCTGATCAGATTTCTGATTTCTGAATCCTGATTCCTCAGAATAGTCAGAACACTAAACAATAAATATTCGTCTGGGTTGGATGAATTCCCAGATTGTATATTAAAAATTTGTGCACCTGTCTCCATGCACCTGATAACTCTCATGTTCAATTTTTATTTATGCACATTTATGCACATGAATATTTCCAGATATTTTCAAAACATAAAACATTACACCGCTTTTAAAAAAGGCAACAAAATAATTCAAAATTTGCCAATTCCTCTTTTGTCAGTTTTTTCAAAAAAAATTAAGAGGCATTCCTATATGCGAAAATTTTCTCGGAAGAAACGACGATTGTTCAAACTCACAAAACGGATTCATAAAATCAACAGAAATTATCACCTTTTTCTTTTTTAAAAATTTTGCTTCATCAATAGACCAAAATAAAACACCTATTACAATATTTTCAGATCTTTCGAAAGCTTATGACGTTATTGACCATGACACCTTATTCTCAAAATTATCTTAATATCGAATTCTTGGTATTGCTCTAGATTGGATAATCCCGTACCTTAAACATCGATATCAAAGAGTAGAAAATACCGTATTGGCACAATATAACATTATGGATCTTTTCAAACCTGTACCAATTGAGCATGAGGTCTTGCAAAGTTCAATTAGGTCCTGTTCTCTTTCTTTTACACGTAAAAATGGAAGAAAAATTCTGCTCACTGATGACATGAATGTTCTTTGCAAAAAAGACACAATAAATAGTACGATTTCAGAAGGCTGAAATTGGTTTCGTAATATCAAAATTAATAGTTAACGTTAGGAAACTGTGTCAATGCATGTTTGCATTTGAAACCAGCAATCGCATGCTCCATTGAAAATTAGCAATATGCAATTAGCTGTTGTTAAGGTAACAAAAGTTGTGGGTCTCTCAATTCAATCAGCCCTCAAATGGAATATCCATTACACTGATTAAACACTAAGTAAAATTCATTATGTTATGTATTCGTAGGTTTCCGCGGTCGGTGTCATTGGATACAAAACTTCAAACTAACTTCTATGCAACTTCTACTGTAACTTCTATGTAACTACGTTCTAATGTAACTTCAAATTAACTTCTTTCCATAGCACATCATACACAGTTTTTAACTGTTTTTAACGTAAATAAATAAATAAAAATAAATAAATGACTGTCCAGGGTGAACCGCGACTCAGTCAATTGAGCTGACGTTTTGGCCATAGTGTTGTAGCCTTCTTCCGAGCTATATTTCTGCCGAGAGCGTGTCGCATTAATGTAGGAGAGGGTGCATGGGCCGATTGGCAGCATCGGCGACCAATAGAAGAGCAGGTGGCTCAGGAATAGCAGAGGGGGGTAAGAGCGATATTGGGAGACCAAATAAAGTGTGGGGAGGGAGGTGGAGCGGAAAGGAAAGAGGATAGAAAACTGAACAGATTGGACATCCACAAGATGAATCTGCGTGGTTGGGGGCCGGACGAAATGCCAAAAGAAAACGGGCCAATAAGCAGCCACGTCATTGGCAGTCCGCGGGGGGAGTGTGACCGCGGGGCGAGACCGTATTGGCGAGGAGCGACAGCCTGTCTCTCAGTGTTGCTAAGGCGAAGCCCATCATCTCTGTTGAGGTTTGTAAACCTCCTGTAGATTTCTAAGGCCTCTCTGATTAAACGAGGCCACCACCGGTCTTCTGTGGATATAGTACGAGTCTCTTGGTAATTAACTGTGTGACCTGTTTCCGCGACATGTTGGGCCAAGGCCGACTTGCGAATGTTTTGTAGTCGGTCATGTCGCTTGGGTTCCCGCATCCGCTCTTCTACCGTGCGCCCGGGTTGGGCGATGTAAACAAGAACACAACTTCGTACACGCCGGCATCTTGAAGAGGGTCCGGTCGATCCTTCTCCTGAATCACATCACATGCGCGACGGCATTGCCAGATGATCCATTTATGTCCAGTGTTGTGTTTTCGAAACAAGGTGCAACAATGCATACTGTTAATTTTCAAGAATATCTGTGTAAGGTAACTAACAATGCATATTATGTTATATGCTTAAATTAAAAGTTCGGAGAACAAATTGGTGTAGTGTCTTGGTCGTCATTAGTGTAATCGTTGCTTCAGAGCAACTTTGAAGATCGAGGAAAAGAGACGCCCTCAAAGTGAGAGATGACATTATTTGCCATTATTCTCTATTTGAACACGTGCGTATTATTAGTTGCTCACATATACAATTATACAGAAATTATTTGTCTTGCAATACGAACTGGTCATATATAACACACTTACCTGCAGCAACATTTTCCCCCAAGGAACTTACTATTGACGAAATTATAGCTATTCTGCAAGAGAATTCGGAGGCATATAAAAATGCTGATAGCTTTTTGCTCCTCTTGACAGTGCTGGTGATCTTGGTGAGGTATATAACAATATGCCACTTAAACAGATAATCGCTGAAGAAGAACTAATGATAAGAAATAATAGTGAATATATAAAATATCCGAGTGTTTTCATATCAACGGCACATCAGCGTGTCAACAAATTAAAATAAAAAACAACAAATTAATGACTGTGGTTGTAGAAAATGGAAGAACGATCTTTCAAATAAAAACATAATGAGAAATAAAGTAAATGGAAACTAGTCAACGATGTTCAGGCCAATTTTTATTGATTACACTCAAACTTCACTGAAGCTCTGCAGTCTATTTTTTTCAGATCTGTTAGAATTTGTAGTAAGGCAGAGTGTAATTGATGCTCTACAAAAAAGTGAATCAAATTTTCTACTTTTTATTGATGAGAAACTTGATTACTGCGGTTTTTATTTTGAGTGGATATGTACCGATGGCACGTAGAAGAATGTACAGTGAAGAAAAAACAATCTAGGAATGAACCTGTTATCAATGCCTTACGATTCGAGGTAATTATGCATTTTATTAATCTGGATGACAATACGGACACTAACGACAGAATTTCTTAAGTCAGACCATATTTCAATTCGCTTTGTGATTCTTTTTGGAGCATACTACACTGCTGTTTGTGAATATTACAACACATAGAAGGAATGGTCGGAATCACTTACAAATCGGTGGATTTATATAGTAGTGTATCGTAGAAGTAATTAGCGCTACAAATAAGTTTTGTACAACTCGGGAACGAAAATTGCTAACTTGGCTTTTTTAAACTTTAGTTCATCATTCAACTATTTAATATATAAAATGTTGAGAAGATATTCTGGAGCTCAGGAAAACGAGCAGATATGGGTACTTCTCCTTCATATACCACATACACATTTGACTAAAGAAATCAAATCATCATTTCTCTTGCTCTTCAGCCGACTCCTGGCTTCTACACTACTTTTGAGACAATTAACAATTGTTTTTCATTTGTATTTTTTTCTTCAAAAGCACTTGGTTACGTCAGTGAGGAGCGGGGTGAAAAAATTCCCATAACTTTAAGGCAATTGAATAATGTTAATAGAGAGCATAGAATGTTAATACATTGGTAGACTTGCTGGCCACTAAAAGAGACAAACCAAAAGCACTCAAATTACAAATGAACTAGTGGTACTTAAACTGCACATACTTTCTCGCACTATTTAGAACTTTTGCAATTTTGGCAAAACTCGGTATTTCAACGAAGATGAGTCTGGCCCTAACGTTTTAGGCGTCATTAATAACTTGCGAGGAAAAGTTAATAAAAAGCATTGGAAACATCAAATAAAAAACAAAGTACCCCCAAAATATGAATATACACTTCGAACTTCCAAGGCCTCGAGTTCTTTCAAATTGATCGGGGAATATCAATTTTGGAGAAAATCATCTGAACAATTTAGGTACCAGCGATGACTACAAGCAGAGAGACAGTTTGCCGTCAATCGATTTTTCTGTATCGAAAACCCACAAAACATGGATTCTGATTACACAAAGTGTTAGAGAAGTAATTTAGACATGTGAATGGGTGAAAACCAGAACGGTAAAAGTGACATTTTATAAATTCTGAGAAAAAAATTGTTTATTTTATGCAACATTTCAGTGTATTTTCGTTATTTTAAAGAATAGTTAAATGCCGTGCTTTTAATGATAAATCAAACACCACTTTACAGTAATATTGGCTAAAAAACAGATCTCTGAATTTGTAAAATGTGACTTATAACGTTCTGGTTTTCAGATATTCATATAGGAACAAGAAAAATATTATCCACTTTTTCTTTGTCAGGGTTAGACACTAACAGTTTCCCGTCGAAAAATCTATTTTTTTTCTAGAGCAAGATTACAATACTCTCTCTTCTTACGAAGCAAGACAAGAAAAAAAAAGTATTCACTTTCAAATAAGTGAAATTAAATAATAATTTTCAAATATTGTTTATAATGATTTTTTATTATATTTGTTATATTTGTAATTAATTTATTACATTTTATAATAGATCGTTAAAGAATCGAATGTGAAACCGTTTGTTTGTTATAACTGACACGTGATGGAACAAAAGACTAAGCATATTGCGCGCACGGAGCAGTGTGAGCTTGAAAAATAATTTGTTTATCGTGCAAATGCAAACCGCAACACGTTACAACATCACTATCGTACATAACTCGGAAACGCGTTTTAGAGCCTCAACACCTGACTTTCGTGATCCTTACGGGTAGGTCATGGTACACGAGCTGTGTTTTCAATGCCCTAATCTACAAAATGAGACAATTTTAGTCGTGTTGTTCTAATCTTAGCGTTAAGGAGAAATTTACTTCACTCCGTATTTGCATTTATATATTATATATTATTATTATTATTATTATTATTATTATTATTATTATTATTATTATTATTATTGTAATGCTTTTCTAAAGACCAATATCGTTC